AAACACGAAAACAACAATAAGCACGTAACTTACAAACGTTGATCAAAACGAAGACATTTATGAACTTGCGATCCGTGCTATACGTAATCCTTTCATTTTATATCTACATATATGTATATTTTTTTGCCGCAAAAAAATTGTATAAGTCCTGAACAGTTGTGTTTATTCTTTAACAAGGTCGCGTAGTGTTGGAACTTATAATTTATATTTATGGATTGAATACGTTATTATGAAATTTCTTAAAAGTAAGAACGAATGAGAAAAATTCTTTATGATTAGTAATTAGTATATTAATATATATCAAAGAATATATGAAAGAATTAAACATATATATGTTAAATATGACCCAATCGAATATTTACTATCGACGTCGATTACGCACTGCTACGACATTATCGAGTTTAGATAAGCGAGCAATGGATGCGTGGCGGTAAAATGTCGTATACGTTTTACAGACGAATATTTTCTCCATCTAACCAAGTTACAAACTGTTCCGACAGTTCTGTTCCGTGATTTATTCTCCAGAAATATCTACAGTATACGATACTATATATTAGATAACTTAAAATGAACCTCCTAGCATTTTTAGTTTTCGTGTAATCTTTCATTTTAGCCAAAAATGGGACAATTTTAAAAGAATTAATTTTTTGAAAACTAATTGCGACAGAGCATCGTTCTTCTCGGTTTCTTATTCACGAAGGTAAACTTCACGTTATTTACCTAATCGATGTTACAGATTGAAATTAATGTTCAATAATGTTATTGTTATTATACGTTCTTATGGTATTTTTTTTTTTTTCGCTTTTCAACAATTCCATCATCTTATATTCCCATGTTTGTGATCATACCGATTTAGGGCACGGGGTTTTCTACTTTCATTATAATATAAGCTATAGAAAACTGTATTCATATTTAGAAAATAATTGGTTTTCGATCCGCAGGATGTTTTTCTTTGAAACACATTTTCTATGAAATGACCGATTGCTGTACACGATTTGTACAAATTGAACTAACTGTAACGAACATCGAAGATATGGCATTAACTGTAGCATATTTTCTAGGTACTGGAATTCATTAATGATATGGATTTGCTAGGTAAAAAGTATAAATAAATTAAATATATTTGGCAGTGTAAAATACAATATAGCACTGAATATTCTCTGCACACGTCTGGAGAGCATGCTAGTCGCAATACAACCAGTTACATGGAAAATGAATGGATTGATTCTTTCTTTTTTAAATTTTGTAATTCACCATGGTGTGATATCTTTGAAAACAAGTGTCACAGTAATCACTTGTTTGACGTCTGCCATCCATTTCTTTCCTTGTAGAGCAGACAACACAGTCCCTCTTTGGACCTTTCCTCGTTATGCGAAGTTTTTCGTTTAGTTCTCTCTGACTGCATACAAGGTGCCCTGCACCCCCGCATGATAGTTTTTAAGATGCTCGTACCCGATAACCAAGTCAGTTATTGGATGCGATCTGGGTAAGAGAACAGGATATCTTTGCGCGTAAGGTATGTTTGCGTTTTTCACTCTACCGCCAACCCTTAGCACTCCCGCCTCATCAAGGAATGGGTTTAACGATCGCAGTTTGGAGTCAGGCGGCAGTTCCTTCCTCTGCTGTAGGCTACAGATTTCTCTGGAAAAAACTTGGCTCTGGAGCATCCTATGTATACAGGTTGTTGCTTCCCTTATCTCCGAAGGTTGAAGCGTCTTCGTAATTCTTCTGTCCCCTTGACAATTGTTCTTAAAGCGTAGACAGTATGCAATTACGCGTTTAAGCTTTATCAGCGATGAATATCTTCTTAAAAGTTCGTTGCTATCGTTTATAGTATTGAGTACTATCTGTCTTCGCTGTTCCGGAATCTCAGGCAGAATTTTCAAATTCATTTTCGGCCAATGAGACTCGTCCTTGTTCAGCCATGCCGGTCCGTCAAACCATACCTTATTGTTCATGAAGTGCGATGGCAATTGACCTCTTGATAAAGCATCTGCAGGATTGTCTAACGATGCCACGTGCCTCCACTCCTTCGCTGACGTGCTGTTCTGTATTTCGGCAACCCGGTTCGCTACAAATGTCTTCAACGTGTGCGCTGCCGATCCAATCCAGTGAATGACTATGGTCGAATCGGACCAAAGGACTATTTTATCGAATTCAAGATTGAGAATGCCCTTCACGGTTTTGTACAAGTTGACCAGCAAAACCGCCGCACACAGTTCCAGCCTAGGTATGGTGATAGTCCTAAGGGGGGCCACCCGAGATTTTGCGCAAATTAACTGCGAGGTAGTCCTTCCGTCTAAGTCCGTTGTTCGAAGGTAAAGACAGGCGCCGTACGCTCTTTCACTAGCGTCGCAAAATCCATGCAGTTCCATGCCTTGCCTGTGTCTTGTTGTTATTTGCCGTCGTATCGTTAGGTTATTAAGGATATGTAATTGTTCATAAAAGTTCCTCCATGCCGTGTGCAGTGGAGCCGGGAGAGACTCATCCCACTGAAGTTTTTGCTGCCAGAGTTGTTGCATAATGATCTTCGCCGTGACGATGACTGGGCCAATGAGTCCTAACGGGTCGAACAACTTGGCTATTTCCGATAGCACCCCTCGTTTTGTTACCTTACCTGGTACGGGGTTATTTTTAACCGTATAAATAATGGTGTCTTCCACGGAGTTCCAATGAATCCCTAAAGCCTTGATAACAGCGCCTCCATCTTGATACAGACGTCGATTGATTATATTCTCAGGAAGAGCACTCAGGATATACTTGTTGTTTGAGCACCACTGCCGCAAGTGAAAACCTCCCTTTCTCAAGAGCTTAATGAGTTCGTCCCGAATTTCACACGCTTCTTCCAGGGTTTCTGCGCCTGTTTGTAAATCGTCTATATAAAAATCCCTTAAGAGTATTGCCGCTGCCCTTGGATGACTGTCTTTCTCATCTTCGGCTAATTGTTGTAAGCTCCGCACTGCCAGGAACGGGGAGCATGTTAATCCGAATGGAAGCGTATTCAGTTGATATGTCTTAATTGTTTCTTCAGGTTCTCTCCGCCATAGGATACGCAGATATTTTCGATCTTCAGGATGTATCATCACCTGAAGAAACATCCTTTCTATGTCCGCGGAAAGAACGTAGTTATGAGTGCGGAAACGCGTCACAATAGAGAATAGGTCCTCTTGGATCGTTGGTCCAGCCATTAATACCTCATTAAGCGACACCCCAGTTGTAGTACTGGTCGACCCGTCGAACACTATTCTCAGCTTCGTGGTGGTGCTACAATCCTTTATTACCGCGTGATGTGGCAAGAAGTAACCCTTCTCATGCGGACCTGCTTCCGTTATCTCCGACATGTATTCCGAATGTATATATTCGTCTAAGATTTGGCTATATTGTTCCTTTAGTGCAGGATTCCTGTTCAATTTGAATTCGAGAGAGCGGAAACGTTTAAGGGCTGTGCCATAAGAATCTCCAAGGACCGGTGACCTTTCCTTGAACGGTAGTTTTACTATGTATTTCCCTGATTCTGCTCGTCGAGTGTGATGCAGGAAATGCCTTTCACACTGCCTTTCCTCTTCTGTGAGAATCGGTACGTCCTTGATTTCCTCCATCTGCCAAAACTTCTGTATCTGAGCGTCCAAGTCGTCCTCAGATTTCACGCTTAAATGACAGCGGGATGGCCTGGATGATGCATCGTGTTGTAGCATCTCACCCGAGATGATCCATCCCAAACGGGTTTTCTGGAGCACTAGGGACGTGGGTCTCGATCTTGAGTCCTTCACTACCGGCCTAATTTGTCCCACGCTCATTAAAGAAAAGAATAGCCCTGCTCCTATGAGGATATCGATTTCCGCTGGTTTATGAAATTCGGGATCGGCAAGGGGGACGTTAGCCGGAATTTCTATCTTGTCCCGATTGACCTGGCTTGACGGTAAGAGGTCCGTGATTCGTGGTATTGTTAGTAGATTTATATTCGCTATAAATCTCGTATCCCTGGACTGTAGGGTAGCTGTAACGGCGTAATTGGTGCTTGTTGAAATATTATTTAGACCGCTAACAGGCGTGCGTATTTCCCTCTTACGCAATTGCAGAAGGTCGGCCAATCGGTTCGTGATAAAGTGAGATTGGGAAGCGGAGTCGAGTAACGCCCTGCATTTATGTCTGATGCCGTCTTTGTCAAAAATATAAATCTGCGCTGTTGATAATAGGACTTCTGACGGTACCTTTGAAATCCGAGTTGCCATCGCCGACGTTGACGCAGAGGGCCGTACTATAGATTGCTCATCCTGAGGCTCGTCATTGTTCGATGCGTCCAGCGGTGCAGGTTTGGCGCCCAAATGTAGCAGGGTATGGTGATTCTTGCTGCACCTGCGACACTTGCTTGACGTACACTTATAAGCAGTGTGATTTGGCCGTAGGCAGTTTGTACATAATTTTGCTTCTCTCACCGTGGTAAGGCGAGCCGACGGTGTTAATCTTATTAATTTCTCACACCGCTGTGTAGGGTGAGATTTTCCACAGATATGGCATGATACTTGGCATGCCACTAATGCCTGCGCGGTGCGGAAATTGCGAGGTTTCGAATTCAAATGGCTATATTTATTATCGACTGCATTATGTCCTACAGCTTGGCTTACCCTTGTGAGAAATGTCATCATGCCTTTTGCCGTCGGCATGGTCGTATCTGTTAGCGAGTGCTCCCATTCTCGGCGCGTGTCTTTGTCGAGTCTTTCTGTCAGAAGATGCACAATAATTGCATCCCAATGCTCCGTGGGTTGCCCTAGTGATTTTAGAGATCGCAGATGTTGTTGGGTATCATTCAGTAATTTACGCAGACTCTCGGGCGAACCCCTTTGCATAGGTGCCAGAGAAAATAGTATCGACAAATGTCTCAGAATAATCACTCGCGGGTTGTTGTATAATTCGGTTAACAATGACCACGCTTCTTCGTAATTTTCGGCGGTCGTCTGAAATGACGCAATTGCTTCCGCTGCCTCCCCTGTTAGGCAGGAACGTAGATACTGCAGCTTCTGAACTGCGTCCAGCGATGTTTCGTTGTGTATGAGTGAAGTGAAGGCGTCCTTGAACGAAATCCATTTTTCGTAAGAACCATTGAATTCAGGAAGTTTTAGCTTCGGTAATTTTGCACTGACTCTTGATCCTGAGGCTTCCGATAAATTCGAGATGGCCGGTGTTGTTAGATTGCTATTTTCCGAATTTAAGAGCGCTTGTGCCTTGGCCTTTAAATCAAAGAAAACTTCCTCTACTTCCTCTCTTTTGCTGGACATGCCCTCACCCTCAGGATCTAGGTCTTCTAATACCGCTTGCGCTTTATCAAAGTTCTTCCACATTTCGTCTAATCTCTCAAGTCTAAACTTAAGCTGATCGAATGCATTCTGCCTGGAGTGATATTCTGCCAAGAATTTCCGAAATGTGGTCTGTTGGCTCCGAACGGTTCTACGTTGTGTTTTTGCCTGGTGTAGAAGCTCTGCCATGTCTTCTTGTTCACGTAGTTTCACTCACTCACTTGTGATTAACAATAGTAATCTACACAGAGATTGATATCACTTCTTCTAACACACACGACTATACGCGAAGGACCAAGAGTAGGTCTCCGTAGGAAGTTGGATCCGGCTCGAAGGACCAAAAATATGTAGCGTCCTACGGTATCGAATCCCTTCGATTTCCAAGAACGCTTATCACGCGCCAATTTAATATTGCGTGACTAGTTGAAATAATAAGGATCCAGATCCTGTGTGGTCGAAGAGAGTGTTTATTTAGTGAAAAGTGTAGAATAGTTATATTGGGACGTTAACGGAGTACCGTTTCGAACACGCGTTTGTATGTGCAATTTAGATGTTTGAAGGATTGGTGCCGAAGACGAACTGACTGGTCGATTCCGCTGCACGTCCCGTCTCGTCGTGCTCGGTCCAGAGCTTTGTCCAGCCTAGTTCTGATTGGGTAAAATAGATGTTGGTGGTGGAAAGGTAAAGAGTTTTAACTGGACAGAGGGTGTGACATAAGGACCTTTGGCTAAGGAGTAGGAAACTGTCAAGGAGCCGACTTCTGATGGTCGATGACGTGATTTATAAGTGTCGTCCGTCCGTCGCTTGTTGGGTCTGTCACAAGTGGGTCCCATCTGTCGCGTCTGGTTTCTAGTAAAACACCTAAACTTCGCTTTACCCTTGTACGCCCAATCCGCTAGAACGGCGTTGAGGCACATCGAACCTCCGGAATTGCAGTCGCGGTACAAAACACAAAACAGACCGCTAGGCCTGGCAAAAGTGCAAGCCCCAGAATAAAACCATGCCATAAACACGCTCTCCGGGACGGAACAGGCCTTGTTGCACTGCGTGGATATAAATGAGCTCCACGCGGAGGGGGCAGCGTTGATATATTTATGTTGCCCTTTTTCTCAGTGTGCCGAATCTTCACGAGACACTGAGCACTTAGGTGTGTAATAAAGCGCAGTTTGCCTGGGTTGTATTTAAACTTTATTACACGATTATAATTTGCGTATGTGTGATTGGTGTGTCTGATGTATCGTCTCCGCCTCTGCCGTTTTTCGTCTTGTCTTTCGTTTTCCGTTTTCTGTCTTCTCATTTTCTCCCAACTTACCGTCTTACGTCTTCGAGTTCTCGTTCACGTCCGATGTGTCTTGTCCGAACTCCAAGACCGTTTGATGTTCTCTGTGTGAATTCTCGCTAACGTCATCCGATGTGTTCTATTTGATTTCTCCAAACCGTCTTATGTCTTCGACTTCTCACGATCGTTTGATGTCTTATTTTATAATTTGTTGATCCTCAAGAAGGACGACGAGGCACACCTTCCAAGTATTATTGCCGTCGCAACATGCCGCCCCCCTTGAACGATCAAGTTCAACTGTTTTGTGTGTGTATGTTGTGTGTTTTGTGATGCTATGATTTATAATATAATGATGTAATTACATGATATGTTACATATATGTTGTTCTTAATCCTATGTACATTGTTCGTAAATTACACGACTGCTTAATTTTACATGACTAATTAATTTTTACATGATTACTTACACTTATGCTAACTATGATTAGTGTTGATACCTGATAATATGATTTAATATACACAGCGTTCATAAATTACAATTACAATTCGGAATTTTGATTACAGTTATAGATTATAATTACGCTTATCGGTAACGGTGATAGACATTTCACCAAACGTTTATATTCACCTTTCGGTGTTTTTATCGTTACTATAACGATATTGTCTTTACCCGGTCCGCAGTAATCCAAGTCCGATCGAGGATAATGTCTAGTACAATTGACACGATTTTTTGGGAGCTCGCCCGTTACGCAATCTATCGCTACGGGCCTGGCTCGTCGGCAGGTGTTGTGTTTAGGTATAATACGTCGTACTGCGTCTCTAACGTTTTGTAGTTCGTCTGATGAGAATGTATCATGTCTCTTGCACAATGCAGTATTTGGAAATTTCAGGCGGTATGCTGTTACCTGTTTTAGTTTTGTAAACGGTACGAATTGGTGTAATACGCGGCTGTTTGTGGTTTGTGTCGTAAACGTTTTTGGGGGTGCGTTTCCGATAGCCCCGTTAGGTTTTCCATTGTTGCCGGCCACTGCTCGTTTTCATAATTAAGCCATGAAGGTTGTCCTGCCATAAACTGTTGTCGAGGTCGTCGATAGCGGTTAGTCAGCGTGATAATACGTCTACTGGTTTGTTTCTCGATTTTACAGGGGAATCTTTACATGGGAGTTGTACCGTGTAAGTGTTTGTTCGTGTGTCGCGTTTCGTTACTGATTTATCGTGTGTTTCGGAATTTGACTCTTCTTCAGATGGTAATTGATAGGATTTTATATATGTTTTACTTGTTTACCACAACAATTTTACTTGATATTTGGTACACACGATGTTCGTTCTATTAGATGTTATTGAGAACTAAAACCATAACAGCTCACACCGCACGTTCACGCTCATCCTCACACAGACACACTCATACCTGCATACATGTAAGATTGACGTTGTGGGTGGATAGGCTAAAGTAATGTTGCTTTCTTTCTGAACCCTTTGAGTACTGAATACTCATGGCCTATGCGCATCGTACGGATGGCGCGCGGCTGGCGCTGACGATCGCCGGGGACTGAATACTTTTTCGCGCGGTATGGATTTCGTTAACGGCGTATGACACTTTATAATATAATATACAATCCAATTACTATTCCGTTGTCTATTCCAGATTAAATGAAAACATTTTTATTTTCAATATATACTGTTTACTCACCTGGTAGAATTTGAAATCCCAGTAATTTAATAATTATAATGTATTTGGATATTTAAAAACAGAAAATGAAACAAATCATAAGAAGGATTATATAATCATGGAAAGGCTTCAAATATATATATTTTAAGAAAATAACATTTAATACATAGATATTTAAAGAAGAAACAATAGGAAAAATTAATAATTCATTTGCGTATGATAAATCTCAAAACAAGTATCAACACATAATCCGACGTCGCATTTTTTACATTCATATGGTGTATCCTTCCTTCTTTGCTGTCTTCTACAGACAACACATTTCCTTCTTGCCGATTTTCTCTCTGCATCTCAAGTTTTTGAAGGGAAATGTCTCTCAGTCGAACGAAATGGTAGGCTTTCTACGCTACTTTTGCCACCACCCGCTTGTTTTCTATTTTGAGGGTATTTTTGCAGAATTTGTTTGACTAGTGACAGATGAAAATTGTTATATTTTAATTTTTTACCAGTCACACGTTCATACAGGACATACGAGTTATGTGTTGAGATGTCTACTAAATGGAAAAAATACTTCTTATACCACTTTAGACATTTTCTGCATAAATTTATTGTACTTAGAACCATGTCAGCGCGATCTACGCGGTAAAAGGGCTCATTTTGATGTTATAATCTGCAACACATTCTGGTTTTAACTTGGGCGATCCTGTAAGACAATTTCTTCCACCAGATTCTATCATTTTCGGTTCGTGAGCACTTGATAACACCCATACATCTTTTCTATCTCGTCACTTCAATGCCAATAAATTATTTGTACACCTGTAGTCAAATTTCCCTTTTGTCAATTTTCCATCGATATGGGGCATATCTTTTCTGTTTTTCCGTACTGTCCCAAACGCATTAGTTTTATGTTTATGAAGTACATTATACAAATGCGGGTTTGTGTACCAATTATCAGTTATCAATGTATGGCCCTTTCCAAGATATGGATGTAAAAGTGTCATAACAACATCTGCCGATTTCCCAATGGTTGTAGAATTATCTACAATATCTGTATTTTTTCCGGTATATACTATATAACCTAATATATAGTTTGTGGTGCAGTCGCACAGGATAAATGACTTTATACCAAATCTACTTATTTTAGATGGTATAAATTGTTTATAGTAACACCGGCCTTTGAATAACATAAGGCTTTCGTCAATGCACAAATCTTTGTACGGATAAAATGACTGTGAGAAAGAGTTCTTCAGAGTATCAATTATTGATCGTATTTTTATCAATGGATCATCACTTTCTACATTATTATCATTAAAATGCAACATTTGCAATAATATCATATATCTGTCTCGCGCCATAGTTCTTTGAAAAATATTAGTTTTTAACATCGGTCATCGGTCGACCAATACTCTTTTAGAGCCAGTTTCTTCACCCGCGGCTTTAACATCGTAATAGCTAAAAATCCGTACATCTCACATATTGATGTATCTTTCCAAGTATTGATACGAGAATACGTTTTAAATGTAGTATTTTCAATAACAAATTTATAATAATTGTTCGTCTCCTCGGTAATATGTGAAATTAACCTTTCCGAAAAGAAGAGTTGAAAAGCATCCAAAGGCGTAGCTTCTGGAGTTAAATTTCCTTTTACTCCAGAATTGTTGTCGTTAAATGCATGTAGTGTGGGCTTGAAATCGTTTTTCGACCATGATAACGTTGGAAGCACTTCATTCAAGTCGAATCTTTCTAAATTCGAATTTGAATCTAAATCATCCTCATCGGTAGATGTGCTAAGTATTCTTTGCCGTTTACTGTTCCTTCTACATCTACTAACTATCCTATTATTTAGGCTATTTTCTGTATCTTCCGAATTTGATGACAGTAGAACATATTCGTGTGGTACCTGTATTTCGTCATCATAACTGTCACTTAAATTTGCCATTTCATCCAAGTCGTCATCGCTGTCGTTTCTTGTAATAATTTCCTTAAAACTGGCACACATTTTTAAAGTATGAAACAGGAGCGAATATCAATATGAAAATTACGTGCACTATAAGTTCAATACGACAATATGCCAATGCAACAATTATAATTGTACGGCGTGACAGAAGAAATGAGTTATCAGAAACCAACTGAAGTGGCGTTTAAAACAAAATTTCGTTTTTCATCGTTACTAAGCGACGTTACTAAGCGACGAGGTTTTTTTTTTTGCGAGTGTTGCATTGTTCCCTGATCATTTTTGCCAGGCGCGTATTTGCGTCCATAGTCTATATCGATGGCTTTCGCTGAACGCATATGTGCGTCCATAGCACTCAAAGGGTTAATAAGATATGTTAATAAATGAGGTCCGCTATCACAAATATTCATATTATCTTAAATAGAATTTATTAACAGTACTATTATGATGAGATCTTCTCATCTACGGTTCTCGATGACACTAATAACTATGGATTTATAAACACCTTAATCCGCCGGAACATATTTACTCTAACACCATGCTGCCAGTCGCACGCAAGCATGAGTGACGTAAAGCGCGCCTCGCGGCAGTTTTTCCAACTACTCTAGCTTAGCGGGCGACTCACACTATACACGCTCATTTACGTAGCAGTGGTCAAAATTATACATATTTCAACAAGATACAATAAGCTTATACTTATATTATCGGCTACGAAACTAGATATACTGACACTATTAGAAACTCTTAGACCCTTGTAATAAGCTTATACTTATATTATCGGCTACGAAACTAGATATACTGACACTATTAGAAACTCTTACACCCTTGGAGACCGTGAAGGACTGTTGAGAGATCGCTAGAGAGTCTCTCGCCCGCGCCCTTGTACCCTTATTTAAATTATTCATTCGGTCCTCATCTATACCCATGTTCTCTCTTCTCAATCGGTCGGTCACGTGTTCTAAACACTAAGGCGCATTCATAGACTTTCACTCGTTTATCGCATTCGGCTCTATCATAAACATCCTTTACATTCGATCCTCTTGCACGCGGTCACTTTCGTTCTAAGTCCAAACACACTTACCATTCTTTCAGGGCTGCCCTTATATTTCATTCCCACATGCATCCTTAGTCGATAAATAAACACAGGACGTTACCGACTTACAGTGGAATAAGTATTCGTGTTTCCTCACAGTAATGCGTTTTGTGAACCGTCTTCCACTTCCTAAAACCTTGCGATTTGTATTTGTGTTTGCCTGTGTATTGAGTTGAACGCAAGGTTACAGATACTAGAAGTTGTATTAGCTGAATTAGGGAGTGCTCCCGTTACCACCCAGCCTAATTTAGTTTTTTGTAACGTAACAGCCGTATCTGTTAATGAAAATTGTCCGATTGGAAGTAGTTTGAAAAATATCTCGACCCCGAGCAGTTCATCAATGGGGCCAGGGTGGTAGAAGTTGGGATCTACTAAGAGTATGTGGGACGGTATTTTTAATTCGTCGGCGTATATTGCTCGACTGGGTACCGTGTCACAAATCCGAGATACTACTAGTAGGTGTAATTTTGCAGCGAAAGAGTTTAATCTTGATTTTATAGTGGTGTTCACGGATGTGTTTATGGTTGAGAATACTTGATTTATATCGATTACCGGTGTCTTAATTTCATTGCGAGGGAGACCGAGTTGTGTAGCTAGTTGTTCTGTAATGAAATGCGATTGAGCCTGAATCTGATAGCACCCGGCAGGTGCGGAAGGATCTTTGACTGTCCTCAATTTTGATTAGTGCGGTCGATAGTAGTGCTTCAGAGGGTACATTTACGAATGCGTTTAGTGTTTTTGTTGTAGCCTGTGTGGTTTGACTTGGACCTTGTGCTTCGATCTATAATAATGTATGGTGTTTTTCTCCGCATTTTCTGCATCCTATAACGAGACACTTGTCCGTGTCGTGATTTGCACGAAGACAGTTATGGCAGAGTCCTGCTTGTCGTATTATGTTAATCTAGGTATCAAGGGGGTATCGCGTCATTCCCTTGATCTTCATGGTCGCATGGTTTCCCCCCGAAATAATTCGTCTTCGTGGTTGTAAGGCGCGAAGATATCCCGGTTGCGGATGGACGGTTCGACGCGACACGGTATCTCGTCGACTTAACGAGTAGATACGAAAATCGTCTCGTTGATTTCTTTGTACGCGTTCGATGATCGATGTTCGCTTTCGTTTAACCGTTCGGTTTAAAGTTCTGTCTTCGACCACGTTATGATTCCAACACTTCACTCTCCGTTTTCAGAGTTTCCACGCGATGGTGGAAGAAGTGGGATGACACGCTGATTGGTTGTATCCAAAAAAAAAAAAAGAATTCCAATCAGTGTGTTCCCTCGAGTATCACCACCACCCTCCATGCGCCCTTGGCGCGCCTTCTCTTGGAAGAAGGGGGTGATACCTGGGGTGCATGAGGGTTTCAAGCGCCCGGCAACGCTGCGTCCCTTCATCTGGGAAACTCCGGCGAACATTGACCGCTGGTTACGTTAGGTCGCGTCGTTTAAAAATTCCCTTTGGAAGAGACGAGTTTTTGACATGAAATTGGCTATTGAGCATGAAATGAAAATTAAAGTTAAATTCTAAAATGCATGCCATAAAGATGTAAAAGTATAAAATGGAATTGCTGGCAATCAGTAAAACGTTACGCTCCAAAATAGCCTTAATATCATGACTCTGTCATAAACAGGCACCCAAAATCCTCATGTATTGTTCCGTCGCGTTGGTCGGAACATGCTCCCCCCGTTGAGCGACCGTGTCGCTCAAAATTCGGTGGCGTTTCGTGATGCTGCGCTGGGTTGTTTTTGGGGAGGTTCGTCGGTAACGATTGGCAGTAGGGCCACCTGCTTTACTTTACGCTTGTAGGTGCCCTGGTTGGTCCGTACGGTGACCGCTCGGATGACGTGGTCCGCTCCTGGATGCACCTTCTCGACTCGTCCGAGATGCCATTGGAGCGGCGGAAGATGTTCATACTTCAAGATGATCAAGGATCCTTCTTTGATCTCGTGCGAGCTCTTCGTCCACCTCGTTCGAACGTTTCATTGGTGGATATACTCCTCGTGCCACCTGGTCCAGAAGTGCTGTTTGACCTTCTGAATATATTGCCAATTTGACAACCGGTTGCTGGGCGTATCGCTGAAATCGATCTCGGGCATGCTCGTTAAAGAAGTGCCAATCAGGAAGTGGGCAGGAGTTAACGCGGAAGGATCGTTAGAGTCGGACGATAAAGGAGTTAGCGGACGGGAGTTTAGAATCGCTTCGACTTCGATCGCGAAGGTGTTAAATTGTTCGAAAGTAAACAATTCTTCGCCAACGACTCGTTTCACGTGGTGTTTAAACGACTTCACCGCTGCTTCCAATAGGCCGCCGAAATTGGGTGAAAGAGCCGAAATGAAGTGCTACGCGGTGGCCTTGTCTGCAAGGAAGCGCTGTACCCTTTCGTTCGTTCGCAGCGTTTGGTATAGCTGGATCATTTCGTGATTCGCGCCTACGAAATTGGTGCCATTGTCCGAGTAGATATTCCGACATACTCCTTGCCGGGCCATGAAACGTTTCAAGGCCGCGATGAACGCTTCGGTGGTCATATCGCCGACGACTTCGAGATGGACGGCCTTCGTCGCGAAGCAAATGAAAACGGCCACGTAAATTTTAATCCGATTACGGTTTCGGTGTCGTTTCTCCTTTATGAAAAAGGGCTCGCAATAATCGACACCACGATTCAGAAAGGGTCGACCTTTGGAGACGCGTGCCGCAGGTAGGGTACCCATTACGTAGTTTACGGCCGGTGGATTCACACGGAGGCACCTGACGCACTGACGGATGGTCCGTTTGACCGCGTTTTTCCCGTCAATGGGCCAATATTGCTGTCGCACGTTGGCCAACGTGGTATTGATGCCAGAATGCTGTCCTTCCAAATGTGCCTGACGTATGATCAGTTCGGTAACGTGATGATTTTTTGGAAGTACGATTGGATGCTTTTGATCGTACGATATTGTTGCGTTTTGTAGCCGACCTCCAACGCGAAGCATTCCCTTGTCGTTCAGAAAGGGCTGCAATCGAAGCAGACGGCTCGTCGCGTGTAAATGTGTTCCGTTCCTGAGATCACGGATCTCACGATCGAACGCGGAGGCTTGAACGAGCATCAAAATGCGTTCGTTAGCATTCAAAATTGCCTCGGCGGACAGTGTTCCCTACCTACGAGCGCTTTTCTTGAATCGGAGGCAATACGCGACGATTCTTTTTAATTTACTCATGGTTGAAAATCGATTGAGTATCTCGTTGCCAAGAACAATGGTGGTCATGAAACAGGCTGGTGAACGGGTTTCCGGAACTTCTTCGGCAACGGTAAACCTTGGCTTGGGCCAGTCCGCGACGTCGTTGGCTAGCTATTTCGGTCCATGACGCCAAAGCGAATTCTTCAAGAAATCCGCTGGTGATTGTCCTCGCGACATGAGGTCAGCTGGATTGCCATTGGATCTGACATGATGCCACGCTGCGACGTCTGTTTTTGTTTGAATTTCGGACACTCGATTCGCCACGAACGTTTTCAGCGTGCATGGTTCTCTTCTTAGCCAGCTCAGGATCACCGTTGAATCGGTCCAGAATTTTACGGATTCAAAGGGAAAGGCGTTGATTTCCCGAACGGTTGTAAACAATGATGATGCCAAAAGTACTGCTCCGCACAGTTTCAATCTCGCGAGGCTTACGATTTTAAGGGGCGCGACGCGGGATTTGGCACATAACAGGCTCATTTTGATTCGGCCGCGTTCGTCGATTGACCGTATATATAAGCAAGCACCGTACGCTCGCTCGCTTGCGTCGCAGAATCCGTGTAATTCCAGGCTCCGAATGGCCCGCTGACAGACATGGCGTTCGAATGATGTCTGATTTAATTGCTGTAGTTCGTTGACGTAGGTGGTCCATTCAGTGTGGATGCTGGCAGGTAGCGATTCGTCCCATGTGAGTTTTAATCTCCAAAGCTGCTGCATCAGTATCTTCGCGGTCGTGATAACAGGTGCCAGCAGACCTAGGGGGTCGAATATCTTCGCGATGGTGGACAAGATTGTTCGTTTCGTTACTCTTGTATCGATATTCGGATCCACGGAATAGACGATGCGATCGTTGTGCGCTTGCCATGAAACACCAAGAGTCTTGACCGTTGCGTCTCCGAAGTATTTGGTGTGGATTTGAGCTTCTGGAAGTCCCGTTAGGAGCTGTGGTTCGTTTGAAGCCCACTGTCGAATATGCAATCCACCCAATCCGAGCAATCGTATTATTTGCTCGCGTAGAATCGTCGCCTCGTTATAAGTGTCCGTTCCGGTTAATAAATCGTCCACGTACAAATCGCGCTGAAGAACAGTTGCTGCGGCTGGAGCATTAATCCTTTCGTCGTCCGCTAGTTGGTGGATGCTCCTGACGGCAAGGAATGGTGCAGAGGTCAATCCGAATGTGACGGTGCCAAGTTCGTACGTTCTGATTTTGCCGGTGTCGTCTCGCCACAAGATTCGTTGATACCGACGGTCTTCGCTTCGCATAAGAAATTGTCGGTACATTTTCTCGATGTCCCCGGTCAGGACATACGCGTGAGATCTGAACCTAATCAGATGTGCGAAGATGTCGTTTTGAATGGTCGGTCCCGTTAACAGCGTGTCATTCAATGACAGTCCACTGCTGGATTTGGCCGAACCATCGAAAACGACACGAGTCTTGGTGGTCGTGCTGGTAAGTTTGATGACCGCATGATGGGGCAGGTAGAAACCCTCCGAGTCGCGTGGTTCCACTTCGCTCATGTGCCCTAGGTCGAGATATTCCTTCATGACGTCCGAATATTCGCGTTTCAATTCCGGATCTCGTTGGAATTTGCGTTCTAACGAAAGAAGGCGGTTCAGGGCGCGCGATCGAGATTCGCCGAGTTGCGTCTTCTTTTCATTGAATGGAAGCGCGACGATATAGCGACCGTTTTTATCTCGCCTGACATGATCCCGATAGTGATGTTCACTTTCCTGTTCCTCTGATGAGAAATGCCGCGTCTTTGACACCTCTTCCAACTCCCAAAACCTTTGAAGGTCGAAGGTTGGGGTGGTAAGGAATGTTCGCCGTTTGTTCTGCGTGGTCGTTGCTAATACGCTCCCCGGATGATCCATCCAAATTGCGTTTTTTGGAGGATCAAATCAGGTTTATTGCGAGAGAAAAGACGATGCTGGCCGATGCTGAATGATGCCAGTGCAGGACCCGTGCCGATCAACGTATCCACAGGTGAGGGTCGATGAAATTGTGGATCCGCGAGCTTGATGTTACCCGGTATCGCGAGTCGCGAACGGTCGACTTGCTCATCCGGCATCGGTCTGGCGATTCGTGGGATTATGAAAAACGTCAGTTCTCGTTTGTAGCCGGAGATTCTAGATTTAACAGTGGTTGAGACCAGTTTGTTCGCGATCGTGTTTAATTGGTTCAACGCTTCGATTGTCGCCGAATTTTCTCTTGTCGGGAGCCGTAATTTTTTCGCGAGTAGAGTCTGGTGTTACGTAATCTTGTTGAGAATATATATATAAAAAAATGTCGATCAGATTGGGGATCGGACTCTTTATTCCTTTAATGATTTAGAATGTTAGTGATATATAATTATAGCTCGTTCGGGTTTGAATCAAGACTGTCTTCGGTGTGGCCTAGCGTTGCTTTTATAGGTGGTCCTTTCCTTTGCAGTTTGTAGATCGGTGCCGTGTGCAATGTGGGCCGGATATAATCAAAACTGTCTGGAGATAGGTGTCGTGTGCAATACTTCTCGTATATGATTAGGGTTTGTTTAATTTCAAGAGTTCGTCGAAATATGATATACAGCTTGGAGTGGCTTTCAAATGTCACATACCCCCCTTATTTGATTGAATTTGGTCCCTCAAATTCGTCGCTTCAGAATTGACTTGTGGAATGTTGCTCTTCTGGATTCTATGGTTACGTTCCTAGAGAGTCTTCTTCGAATGTAACGCCTGGACTGCTGCTTGTTTCTAACATCGGTGTGTAAATGTTGATCGGTGGTGCGGTTGCGGGTGGCGGTGCCTGAATATTATTACTTTCAGATCCGTTCTGATTTTTCTTGATTTTACAACATAGTATGTTTATACAGAGTTTGCCTGTAGATATTTGCTAAGTCCTAATTTATTGGTAAGAAACAATCCAATTATTGCACACTTTTCCTGTATCTGCGCCAAACCCTTCTGGAAGATACATATACTCTTCCTGATCTGAATCCCAATACAGGAATGCGGTTTTAACGTGAAATTTAAACATGTGCCAGTTGTTTCTTATTATTAATGCAAATATTATCCTCAACGTACTATCACCAACTACAAGAGGTAGGTTTCAACATAATTAAAATTCTTCTTGTCTTGCTGGCATCCTATTGCTACCAGCCTTGCTTTACAACGTCCATTATCTTTAAGTGTGAAGACCCACTTACTTGACAAAATTCTTCTTCCTTTGACCTCCTTCGAGTCTATAATCTCACAAGTCCTGTTCTTTATTAAGGACTCCTTTTCTTCTCTTATCGTTTGTATCCATTTGCCCTTTTCTTCATTTTCCAAGACTTCATCATACGATAGCATCCCATAATACTGTAACCTATCCAGTGGTCTTCTGTTCCTTGATGGTTTTGTATTCCCTCATTTGTTTCATTTCCATGAGTTTCTTCCACAATGGCACCTTCGTGCACTTCATCCTTTTCTTCACCTTCATCCTGGGTCTCTTCATCAAAGTCAGTGTTGTAGTTCTCATCATTATCTGTTTCTTGTGCTATTATATCATTAATTGTTCCCGTTTCTTTCTCACCTCTTAATTTTCCACTGTTTCCTGCACACTAACTACATCCCTTGACATTATTATTTTTCTATTATTTACATCCCATAGTCTGTATGCATTCAGTCCATAACCTACAAATTTGTACTCTACACTTCGTTTGTCCAACTTTCTCAACTGTCTCACTCTTTTGGCTTGAACTGTCTCTCCAAATGTTTGTAAATTCCTTAAGTTAGGTTTTCTCCCATTCCACATCTCATAAGCCGCCTTGTCTCGTAGTTTGGTGAGACTCCTATTCTGTAAATAAGCAGAAACATAGACTGCTTCCCCCCATATCTCCTTGCTCAAGTTACTGTCGAATAAGAGTGCTCTTGCTTTATCTAAGAACGTCCTATTCAGACGTTCTACCCTCCCATTTAACTGAGAAGTATATGGTGGTGTATAGCCCAATCTAATTCCTTTCTTTCTACACCAATCTTTCATCTCTCCACTTGAGTATTCATCTCCATTGTCACACCTCAATTTCCATAATTTTTTATTCCATTTTACCTCAGCAGCTGCTACATATTCTTTTACCTTCTCTAAAACTTCACTTTTCATTTCAAGTAAATAAATCATTATATGGTTTGTATAATCACCCAACATTGTTAAAAAATATCTTTTCCCATTCCACGTGATCGGATCGATTGGTTAATAATGTAGGAAAGGATTATAGTAATTAATCGCTTTGCTCCTGAGTAACTTTTTTTATTAAGGGCTTTCTCCCGTTGGAAGACAATGGGTAGCGGTGAAAGTTGCACACAATAAACATCTGTGATTGACTGGGTGAAAGAACACGATGGTTTTTTACTTTATTTGTAATTTATTATTTTTGGAGCTCACAATCAACACGTGCTTATCGTACAATGCCTTCGTCCTTTCTAGACACACTGATGACCCATTCGTATATTAACATAAGTAATGAGCCACTATGTGTCACCATATTTGCTAATAATTTCTAATTTACCGACTAGATTTAGCAGTTACATTATAACAATCTGTATGTGTTAATTCAAGAGGTCTAGTTGTTATGGAGACTTTGCACTTACCAAATGGCTTCCTTGACTGCTTTGCTTCCAAACATGTTTTGCTCATCTCAGTATCTGTTTTGAAGTCTTCCTTGGTAAATTAAATTCCCTCCACTTTGCTGCTAACCCTTCCTCGTACAACTTCTCTTGTCTCTCTGTCGGTAAAGCTTCTTGTTCTTTAGCACTTTCTGAATTTTGTACACAATGCAGGTCATTTTCCAATCTCTGCCCTTTCATGTGATTAATAAAGAACAACTCTCTTTAATAATGAAACAAGTTTATTTAATTAACGTAATACACCAGGTTCCTCTCGATTGTAACACTCAACGTCTCGTCTACACACACTCTATTCTCGATCACACCCCGTCTGCTGCCACGCGCTCTTGCATCCCTATTTAAGGCCAGATCTGTCTCACTCCATACGCACGCTTTCTCTCTCTCAATTATTCTACAGGCATTCCGACAAAAAGGATTTGCCGCTATCATTTGTTCTTTCCTGACACCGCCGTTTGCTACTCCTTGCTTTTTCAAGGAGCCGCCCAAACGCTTTCATGCGCTCCGCTCACTCATTCGCCTCGTCAAAGCCGATGCCGCTGTTTATTACTAAATATTGTAGAATCCTTCGCCGCTCGCCACCCCACAGTACATGATTGCTTACAATGTTTCTTAACAATTATATACAAGTTGCTTTTAACGCGTATCGAGCCACCAATATTTCTTTGTGTTTCTACGATTCGAATATTCCCGGTCTATTTTAGCTAATTTTGTGTTCATTTTTTTTGCGACGTCACGAATGTCGTCTGTGTTATACAAAATTGCTGTATTGCCTGCTTTCCTAGTCACATGATAGATCCAAGGTACATTTTCGCTATTCTGAATGTAGTACCCTTGACCATCAAGATATACGAAAGCCTCTGGTGGCGTGTATCCCGTGTGCCGGGTTTTTTCAAAATATTGCGGATTGGGATATGCGGAGCTATTTATTAAGCCGTTATTTTTTTGTTTCTAATGCTCGCCCAATGATTACGAATCGATTTGAGCATGAACAAGTCTATTCGAACTATTTCGTATTCGTATTCGTATTCGTACAGTTTGGGATTACTAATAAATTTCGTGAAATTTGACTCCGGGGTCCGGCATTTGCCTAGGCAAGCTCTGGGGCATTTTCTTTCAAAAATCCTCAGTTTCTCCATTGTACTTGCCCATACATTGAGCCACATGGGGCAGTCATATGTCAGTATCGGCCTTACTAGTGTTTTGTAGCAAATAATCTTTGTTTTCGTCCTTAGCAGTTTTGTATAAAACGAACCTTTATGATTGGCGAATGCCTTATGGGCTTTGCTTCAATTCCTGAAGCCTTGGGCATCCTCTGTAGGAAGCAGGATGTCCAAAGCTCTTGCAGTTGACGCAATACGGCTTGTCTACGGTTTGCTCAGTACGCGTGCACTCCCCTGGATTGTGTTGGTGGTTATACTTAACGCATTTATAATGTAAATTACAGTTTAGGGCGATGTGGCCTATCCTCTGGCAACTTTTGCATTGAACTCGATCTCTTTTTAGCATTTTCTCCCAGTGAATTAGGGAGTGGAGTACAACTTTAATCTGTTTTAAATTTTCTACTTTGCTATCAGGACACAGCTGAACTATACACATTGAAAGTTTTCTACTTTCCAGGATCGACTTCTTCGTTTCAAATTTTTCGACCGCTTCAAATTTAATATTTGGTACATTTTTTAAGCGGAGTTCGTTCAATATTGTTTCTGACTCGAAGTTTCCGTCTAAATTTTTTAATAACACCGATATATTTCGCGTACCTTTCGGTGTGTTTGAAAAGAATTTTACATTGTGTTTTTTTAAAAGATCGCATGCTATTTTGTGCGCGGAGGTCGAGTTTAGATGCAATAAGTGTTTATTATTATTTATCCTTTTTGTATAAAAATCTTGGCTAATTTATGAAATAATTTCTAACGTCGTCTTACATGATGTATCGAATATAGTTATAGGAGCAACCCTGGCATTTCTTATCTTATCATCGGTCTTCTGTGGCCAGCTTTGCTGTTCGTTGGCGGTCGTTGTCTTTATTTTCTTTGCTGATTGAAGGGGTGGTGGTGCATCCGTCCTTCAGGGCTGTTGGTGGTGGCTGATGCTGCTGCTGGTCGCTGAGTTCGGGGGCTGGTTTGATCGGTGTCTCTTCGTTGGCCCGCGACTGTCTTCCACTGTTTCTTGTCCTCGGTTGCTGGGGTATTATTCTCCGTGGGTGCAGAGTTTTCCTTTGACTTCGGTACCTG